TTTCCACTAAGTATGCGAGCAAAAGGCACATCGATAACAACAGCCAGCAATTGGGGAGCAAACATGATTGTTTCATTCGTTGTACCGGTAATGATGGAAAAGATCACTTATGGTACATATTTGTTTTTTGGTTCATGCTGCGTTGTCATGCTTGTTGCTGTATTCCTCTTTTATCCGGAAACAAAAAATAAACGTTTAGAAGACATCGACGAAGTATTCAATACTTCATCGGTTATCGTCGCTTTTAGAAAATCAAGAGGCGGAAAAATTAAACCAGATCCAAAGCCGGACGTACTTGATGGAAATGATGTAGAATTAGCTGATGGTCGGGGACGAACACCATCACAACATTCTAAATATACTAATGGAACTGCCTTTGGCAGTTTACCACCCACCTACAGTAGTGAAGATGGCGAGCCGCGAACATCACCAGACTTGCCGCGTATATCTATTGCCGGTAGTCACAGTCAAAGAGTATCGTATGAAAGACCAAGATTGTCGGCCGATGTTCTAAGAGCATCATCGACTGTATCACCAAATTCGGTGGGCATCACACACAAATCACTCGCAGATGAAGCAGACGATAGTGCGAAATTTTAGGTGTTAGGCTACTTCGAACCTGTACATAATTACGGGAAAAAAACCCTTTTTGTAAATATAATTTGATATAAGCTTTATTCAACCACTATACTAGCGAGAAAATATTTCATTAGAGTATTCTAAACTAAAACTATCGAAAATCACAAAAACAGTTTTGTACGAACGAAGATTCGAATACCTTAAAGTTAGCTTTGCGGTAAACTGCAAAACTAAATCCACTGTTTCGTGTATATATTCTGCACAACGATTGAAGTCGTGCAGTCAACTCGATGTTATCAGTAGTAATTTTTTTGTTCTATTGTAAATATTTATAAAACATTCTAAGTTTAGTGAACACACAGCAGAAAAAAGCCTGTATTATTTTAAGTAAAAATGAATTTTGATTGTTATGCGAATAGCACGAGAACTGATTTGGTTTTCTCAGAAAGGCTTTAGATTGGAACACAATTTTCATGAAATGCAACGTTGGCCTGCTCTCGCAAAAACTACTTTAGAAGATAGTTGAATGAAAAAAAAATTCTTTAGAGATAGTTGAATCTAAACGTGTAAGTCGATAAATTGTCTACGCTGTCTAATGAAAAATCGGAAGTTATATATATCCGAATTTGTTTACTGTAGAAAAATTGTATATAAATAAAATCAGTTAGGTACTGGCTAGATAGCTACATGAAAGGACTGTCTCTGACTGTCGGATTTATGACAATAGTTGATTATCGCTCTTACGGTAATGGTATATCACCTGCAATCTAGTTAGTTTTTCAATCAGCCAATCGGATTTATTTTTGTTCTAGAAGTACGATAAAGAAAATGGTGAAAAGAATGAACACGTTTTTAACACTTGACTTGAAGATATCTGCGTGTTTACACTTTCTCATTGCTGTTTGAAGATTCATGGTCTAAGATTGTAAGATGTTCGTGCTCAATTGAAACACTTTAAAACTAACTAAGCCTCACTTCCTACCATTTTGATTATCTGTAATCAGATAAGTGAAATAGTCGATCTTTCTCCACGAGAACTTCATCTCCTTCACTGAAATATTCGATGCCTCTGGACGAGAAGTTCATTTGTTTTGTTGAAATAATGGATGTCTCTCCATGAGAAGTTCATCTAATTTCTCGACATAATCGTTCTTTATCCACGACAACTTCATCTCTCTCGTTGCAGTAGTCCATGTTTCTGCCATGTCTTTGGCTGACTCCATTTTAGATGAAGTTGGTGTGGAGAAACATCGACTATTTCAAGGAAGGAGATGAAGTTCTTGTGGATAAAGATGGACTTTTCCACCCAAACAGACGAAGTTGGCTTGCGGAAAGATCGACTGTTTCAACGAGAGAGGAGTTCTTGTGGATAAAGACGGGACTTTCACACAAAGAGATGAAGTGTGTTATAGTGAGATAGACTGTTCCACCGAAAGAGCTGATGTTCTAGTGGAGGAAGATTAAGCATTTCAAGGAAGCAGATTAACTTCTCGTGGGGAAAGATCGACTCTTTCAGCTAAAGAGATGGAGTTCGCCTGTGGAAAGAGCGAGTATATCACGCAAACAGATGTTGTTCTCGTGTAGAAAGATCCACTGATTCACCGTAAGAGACGATGTTCTCGTGGAGGAAGATCGAGTAGTTCACGAAAAGAGATCAAGTTCTCGTGGAGAAAGATCGATTATATACTATATAAATAAAAGTATATACAGAAAACAGAAACGTATTGATGTTCAATCGAGTGTTAATAAATTTAAGGATGAATACTAAATTTAAAAAAAAATTATGCAAAAAGTACCTCTCATTGTGTACAATTTCCTAACCAAGAGATTTTCGCTAAAACTTTTCAAAAGCAGGTCAATCGATAGAGAATTGAATTGTCTACAAAATGGCTCATTCACTTTTGAGTTCTAACTTTTTGAAAAATTTCTGCAAATTGAACAAAATCACCGAAACACGTGAAGGAATTCTAGTTAGCTCAGGTGTTTTGAGCAAAATTTTAGACAAAACACCTGAGGGGACTTCACAGAAAAAGTGTCAAGGAAAACGTTTTGTCTGTCTTCAGCATCAAACTTAGGGAAGCCGTCAAAATTCGCATCGGTGAATTTATTCACCGGTTTGATTTGATTGGAAACAAGATGTTTTTTTCTTGTGTTTATGCTGGCAACTTCCAGGTTAAACACTTAACAAATTTGAAGGTACCCTTCTCCAGTTTTTCTGCCAGTTTGTAGTACACAAATTGTACTCTATACCATGCTACTTCTTAGAAAGGATCTCGGTTAGGTTTCAAGATATATAGATCTCAATATCTCAGACTAAAGCTTGTAAAATGTGGATTTTACTTTAATTTTAGAAATTGCACGAATTTAGAATAGCAAACATTACTTTCTTCGTCACTTTTCGGAACATCATAATCAGAGAAGACCAAGTTCAAAATTCTTTTCCAGTAAACTCACTACAATTAAATTGAAACGGATCCATTTTAGTAACTTTTATCATAGATATTACATTATAAATCGAACGGTCGTATT